CCCTCCAAGCTGCTGGAGCGGCTCGACGTGGACGCCGACCTGCAGCAGTCGGGCCGCTGCATCTACAACTGCATCAAGAAGCTCTACGCGCTGATGGGGAGCCTCGCTCACGACCTGCTGGGAGAGTCGGCGGACCAGCAGGAGGACCTGGCAACGCTGCCCAGCGCCGAGAACTCCCTCACCTCCTCCAAGGTGTTCAGCTACGGCTCCTTGGGGGTGGCGGATGCGCACCGCTTTTTCCTGCCCGAGTACGAGCTGCTCGACTTTGTCGTCCAGTCCAGCTTCACGATGCCCCTGCAGGAGTACTCGGAGCTCTACGGCGTGGTCCCGATGCGGGACATTTACAAAGGTGGGCGGCGCCTGAGGGGCGACCGGGCGACTGAAGCTGATCGGTTGCAGATCGGGTGTGGCCCGTGCCGCACGACTTCATCCCCTACGACGTGTTCGAGCGGCCGTACGAGTGCGCCACCGAGCTGCCCAAGGAGGCGAGCAAGCGGCAACATGCAGGGGCTGCCAGCGCCGCCCCCAGCACGATCAGCTTGCAGCAAGTGATTCAGTAAAATAATCATTTTACTTACTCGATGAATTCCAATAAAAGCACTTTAGTCAATCGACTTACCAGTTGGGGCTGCGCCCTCTGAGTCCCCGGCTGGGCCGTTCGGCCCCTTGGCCATGACGTTTAAACGTCCAAACTGGCACGCGACACAAAACTGACCCGATTTCGCAGGAAAAGGCGCCCACGGGGGCGCAAACTGCGCCCAACTGTGCCCAAAGGCCTTAGCTGGCGAAAACGCGGCGGTTTCCACGCGGGGAATCGGAAAAACCGGGCGAATTTCCCAAAGTCGAACTGCCGCGAAACAGTTGACTGGCGCAAGATGGAACTGTCGAAGACGGGGCACGCATGACGTCACGGGCGAGGCGCCGGGCGATTTGAAAACTTCAGTCCCATTCGAACCTCACATTTTGAGCCGATTTCCCAATTATGACACTCAACTGACATTTTGAAACGTCACCACTGAACCAAAACGAACGCAGACCTTTCAAATGTCCAAGCTTAGAGCCCAAAATGTGATTTTGTAGTGAAATTTCTCCTCTAAACTGCCATTGTTCTGGTCAAAATTTCAAAATATTAACTGGAAAACCCAAAATTTCCTTAAAGTTTCCGTACTCCCAGTGTCAATTTGGAACTTCGTTTGTCAATTGTCAATGTCACATTTAAATTTGGTGGCCTGCAAACTGACATTATCAACGTCAAAACCGCTGACAGTGGCGCGTTTTGATTGGCTCTGGTTGGAGCGCCGCCATTTTTAGGCAAAGATTGGCAGGTTTTTTGGTGCGGTGTCAGCTGTCAAATTTTGAGTTAGTTTGGGTCGAGTAGAATGTTTGATTGATGGCGTAACTATGACATATATAATATATATATGATTAATATAACAACATGGCAACATAAGCTTTGGGATTCTGATTTTCTGGTCAACCAAATCCTGTCAATGTCGATGTCAACTGCATTTTTGGGCTGAGCAAGTTAATAATGTCAACTTCCAGGTCAAACCTGTCACTCTCAGCCGCAAATTTTTGCCAGAAGTTCGCGATCTTAAGCTCGAAACCGAAACCTTTCAAATGTCAATTTCAAGCTTTAAAGTTGACCTGAAGTTTAACCTTTCATTCTGGCATTCACGCCTTTAAAACGTCAACTAAATGTCAAAGGGTGATGCTTAGACGCCGAAATGTCATTTTCTATTGACATTTCCCCTTTGAAGTGAGATTGT